TTTCTTAGACCCGTGATGAATGTCAAATTGAATTCCATTGTTGTCCTTGTAATGCCATGACGATGACATTTATAGATCAACTCATTCAGCCTATCATAGTAACCTTCAATTGACTCACCATCCATTTGCTTAAAATCTTTTAATTCAATCAAACAGTGCTTAACTGAATCAATTTTCGTCTTCTCACTTCCTTGAAACTTTTCTTTGAGATTATTCCAGGTTTCTTTTGCAGTTGTACAACTTCTGACATAGTTATACACAACTGGAGGCAATGCACCGTGTAACTCCCTTATGCATCGTTTTTCAAGTTTCTTCATACGATCAGATTGAGCATCAACACTCGTAGTACCATATGAAGATCCAATTTGGTTGAAGATTTGTCGGAAGAGTAACACTCCCTGAGATGCATGAACAAAGCTCTTCATCGATTCCATTCAAGTAGTCTTGCATACGATCAGACCACTGATCATAGTATTCCGGAATGAGCATAGGAATCTTAGTTGAAGATCCTAGCAGCTGAGAGTATGAAGTCAGTGAGTTTAAGTTGAAGTTCGCCATTGATGTACGGATTGAATTTTTCTGAGAAATCAAAGAGAATTTGAATGCAAATTGCTAAATTGAACAGAAAAATCAAGTAGAACACTCGATTCAACAAATCAGTTGCAGAATCAAATCACAACTGAAGATCTAAAACACTTTTCACTTCAAAAGGTGCGAAAACTTTTTGAATCAGAATTTGATTCAAAAACCTTTTGAATCAGAGTGAAAATCAGATCGCAGATTATGATTCCTGCTCTGATACCAATTGATGAAGTGATGAATCGAGTATGAATCAAATCAGAGTAAATCAAATGTAATTTGAACACGAGAAGTAAATATAATCTGTTTTCAGCTCTATTACTTCCGATGAACACTAGTACAGAACGATAGTAAAAAGGGTGAACTTATTACAATCACTCTCTGACTCTTACTATCTGCTTAATGCTCAGCTCCTATTATAGGAAACAGGAAGTACAAAAATACTAAGGCTTAGACGTTAAGCTTCGTACAAAAGACACCTTAGTAAATACATAACAAAATATACGAAGTGAACAAAACATACGAATAGTACAAACAAACAGACTTCGACTGTTTACAATATATTTCGACCCTATAGTATCTTTCAACCGGTAACCGGGAGCTGACCTCCCCTTCGGTATCTTTCAACTGGTAACCGGGGACTATTTCACCCCCTACCACTATCATATAATAACATATCATGAACATACTGCTAGGCATGCATGGGCATTGTCTACCCCTTCGGTATCTTTCAACCGGTAACCGGGGACTATTTCACCCCTACTACTACTAACACATATATCATAGCATCCTAGCACATAAAGCATATCAGATAGCGGCAACCCAGACAATTATCACAAAGACAATCATCTAATCAAACAACTCCTACTAGCGGGCCGACATTGTGGCCGTAGACCCACTCTTACTGGAAGGTAACTCACCTCGATGTCGTAAAGTGTCTGAATTGTCCTTGCTGCATGAATCAACCCCTCTCAGATCCTACACATAACAATCTTCCTTAATTACCATTACTTGGTCAACTCAAGTCAAGGTCAAAGTCAACTCTAGGTCAAAGTCAACATTTAGTTGCCTCAACTCGCCGAGTTGGCCCCACAACTCGTCGAGTTCCGAAATCATGAAAACGTCAAGACTTCGACCCTACTCGTCGAGCCCTACAAGGGCTCTCTGAGTTCTCCTTTAAACAAAGTCGGGACCTTCTACAACTGACTCGTCGAGTTCATCCTTGAACTCGTCGACTTCATCTTGATCCGAGTTAAGGTGTTTAGTCCTTGACTCACTGAATTCATCCTTGAACTCGTCGAGTTCATCTTCATCTGGTTGGGATATTGCCTTGAACTCGCCGTGTTCATCCTTGAACACGTCGATTACGTTGATCTTCAGGTTCATAATGAACCCAACTGGCTGAGTCTTCTTCCAACTCAACACACTACTCGATATCAGAAGGGGTTTTGGGAAAAATGCGACCTGACTTGTCGAGTCACCTAAGCAACTCGCCGAGTCCCTCTATGTCCAAAACTATTCAGTCGATTTCAGATGGTCCTAATGCATCCAAAACATAGATCTGACCTCCTAGGGTCCATATTACACGTAAAGCTACGAACTTGACGTTCATGCATGAGGTTTCTGGCTTAAAAGATGCATGGGACTCCCATGGCCATAAAGTTGGCACCTTTATGCCATGGGAACCCTCAATGGTTCCAGATCTGAAGTCATACCCCCTTAGAACCACAAAATCCTGAAAATGGCTCTACTAAAACTTAGAAAAAGGTAGAAACTTGTCCCAACTAGAGATCTAAGAGATATATGGTCAAGGTTGAAGCTTTTTACCTTGAATGAGCTGGAAATGAAGCAAAACCTCTGGATCTACTTGTTTCTTCTGGAACCACCAAGCTTCCACTTCTTTCTTCAAGCTTCAAACAACCACAAACACACAAAAATGGCTCAAGAACACTCCAAATGCTTTAGGGTTTCGAGTTAGGGCTTTTCTGGACAGTGAGAGATGATGGAGGCTGAAGTGGGACAAGATTATGTGTTTAAATAGGGTGTAAACCCTAAATATTAGGGTTTCATCGAGTCAGTCCTACTTGTCGAGTCGGGCTCCCGAATCGTCGAGTGGATTACTTAAAACTCGCATCCATAATCCAGTCTACTCGACGAGTTGGGCCTCCAACTCGTCGCGTCACAGTGTAAAACATGCAATTACTTATATTTAAAATACATACCGGGAACCGGGTGTTACACCCCGCCCCTACGTCGGGACTTGCCTGACATCTAACTCGTTCCGGCGTCGGGCCCCGCCCGGCATCAGGCCCCGCCTGGCATCGAGCCACGCTCGGTATACAAATCTGTTTCTCTTAGGCCCCGCCTGTCTCTGGGCCTCGCCCACTATACTCATACAATCAAATAAACATACTAGCACATAAAGAAAACATATTATAAATGTATTTCCTGTTCTAAGGCCTCACCTAGCTTGGGACCCGCTCCTGTTCTGGTATTGATGAGTCATGGAACCCCATCCATACTCAGCTAGTGATGAGATACGGGACCTCGCCCACACTCACCTCCCTACCAGGCACATACAAGTATCACACATACAGCAAATATAATCTAACACGTAAAACATTCCTCGGGTATCACCCGACATCAGACCTTGGTCCGGAATAACGTACTATCATACAATGCCTAGGGCTAACCCCCGGGTCTTCCTATCATACATAAACTAAATGGGCCGACATTGTGGCCGTATACCCATGCACACAGTGGGGAGACTCACCTTGCACTACTGAAGTCCTGTTGATACTCTTCTAGCTGCTAACTGGCAATTCCCCGAACTGCTGCTCCTTCGGCTCCCCGAGCTATTAGTACCCAAAATGACACTTAGTCCAAAATGCCCTCAAAAGTCAAACTGGGTCAACCTTGGTCAAAGTCAAAGTCAATGGTTAAAATCAATGCTCCGAGTTGACTCAACTCGCCGAGTGGCTCCATCAACTCGACGAGTTCTTCCTATCAGAATCCTGAAATCGTGATCTAACTCGTCGAGTCACCCCCTGACTCGGTGAGTTCCCTGGCTACTCAAGGTCGCAATTTAGCAAATCAACTCGTCGAGTCATCCTCAGGCTCGTCGAGTTCTACCGAGACAACTCACTTCAACTCGTCGAGTCCCTCCCTGGACTCGCCGAGTCCCTTAGTCTGTTTGGGCCATCTTAGTAGATTAAGCCCCTACACTTCAGACCTGAACCCCAAGCTTCGTATACACTCTGGAAATACTACTAGAGGGGTAAAGTTTCCAACTTTACCCATTAATACCTTTCCTAAAAGGATTAAGCTCAAACTCTAACTCCTTAAGACATAGATTCTTGTCCAAAAGCCATAACATTCCAAACTAAAGCATACTCACATAGATCTAGGCCTTAGACATCGTTTGGACACATAAAGCTTCTGCCTTTTCCTCCATGCATGACCCTTTGGGGCTCAAAAAGGGCCAAAATGACATCCCCATAGTTTGCATGGGGCTCTAATGGCATAAAGTCTGCACCTTTATGCCATAACAACCCTTAATGGTTCCAGATCTGAAGAGATCCTTGCTTGGGACGTCCATGTCCCATAGATTAAGCTTCTTGGACAAAAACCCTCATAAAGATGAAATTAATAGATTTAAGAAACCAATAATCAAGTTAGAGACTTGATTACCAGAAAGTGAAGAGGATGGAATGTTGTTTCTGGATCTACAATCTTCTCTTGGAGTCCTACAACTTCTTATTCTTCTACAAGCTTCAAATCACACAAGGGTCACTCAAAATGGCTCATAAACTCACACAAGGCTCTAGGGTTTCGTGGATTAGGGTTTGGAGAACGGAGGCTATAAATGAGGCCAAGGGGTGTGGGTTAAGGATGCTTAAATAGGGTACAAAACCCGGATTTAGGGTTTCTCAAATCCAAACCAACTCGTCGAGTAGGTCCTTCCACCCGCGTTCTAGTCTTGCTTCTACTCGTCGAGTTACCCTCCTTGGACTCGACGAGTAGACCTTCTTGACTTAAGGTTTTTCTTTCCTTAACTGGCCTTCTGGATTCCGGGTGTTACAGGAATAGGCATGAAGTCCATCATTGCTAGGGTTTATCTAATAGGCACTAAGTCCATATCTACCAGGGTTATTTATTAGGCACTAAATCTTGGTTGCTAGTGTTTATTTAATAGACACTAAGTCCATGGGATCATCTTCTTTATTGACCACCCTACCCCCCCTCATATCTCTCTCTCTCTCTCTCTCTCTCTCTCTCTCTCTCTAAATACGAAAAATACTCTTGCCCAGGTCTAGATGCTAATCTTCGGCTGCAAACCCTTAACTGCCTCTCCATTAATCTTGGCGATTTCTTGATACATTCCTCCATTGATCATCAAATAATCTCTTAAAGCTCGATAGTTACCTCCCATGGCACCAGAAAGTGTGCGTATGTAAGTACCTTGAGCTTGAGCACGAACAACAAGTCCCTTTGCCTCCTTCTGTTTTTGCATATAATTCGTCGTCGGCGACTTGTTGGCGGGAGTAGAGTGTCGCCTCCGCCATCGCCTTCTGAGCCTCCGCTTGTTTCTCCTTCTCGTACAGAATTGCTTCAGCTGCCTTCTGCTTTCTGTAAAGCTCCCAATTCGCCTCTTGTACCTTTGTTTAGGTTAAACAGATAGAAATTCAATTTCGTGAAACATAGGTGATTAATCGCATTCGATTAATTTGTGTTATGTTTGTTACCTTGTACCTTTGTTTAGGTCAAACAGATAGAAATTTAACCTGTGAATCCTTGGCCCACTTTGCCTTCTTCATTGCCAACTCTGCATTTGCTTCAGCCACTTCAGCCTCCCTCTGGTTCTCAAACACCTTCACCTCCATTTTCACCTTTATCTCTTCCTTCTTCCCCTGTCCTTGTCTCTGCGTCTATCTTCGCTGCATTTTGAAGCGTTTGGACTTGGCGAAGCTTGGATCCAATTTCACCCTAAAACAACAATCAATCATGAATCACAAACTGAGTATCTACCATTCAAAACCTAAGCAACATAATACCTTCATCTTGGCTTCAGAAACATCAATCTTAGCTTGATTTGCAGCCTCCTGTTGGATTTTTTGCCCTAAATACGAAAAATACTCTTGTCCAGCTTCAGAAACATCAATCTCAGCTTGATTCTCAACGGTGACAACTTTCCGATGAAGGGGAAGAAGGGAACTCACTTGAGCAGATACCCACAAGCGGATTTGTGAACCACCGACTATTTGACTCAGATGGCGACAAAGGTTAAGATCAAGGGGATGATTTTTGGGGTGAAGGTTATTAATCTGATTTGTTAGGTATGTTCGTGGAATGGAAACACCAGTGTGTGTGTGTGTATGTGTGAGAGAGAGAGAGACCTTTTTCTCAATTTTAATTAATGAAAAACATTTGAATAAATATAAAAAAATTAAAAAAAACAAATATAAGGGTATAATAGTCTTTTTATGTTGATAAGGACCAAAAACAATAGAAATATCCAATTTTGGACCAGTGGTGCACCAACATTTCGTTTTGGACAAAAAACACATAAATTTGCCGACCACACGGACCAATTTTGCCATTTTGTCTTCTTAAAATAAGTAAAATGATTGGCTCACAATCATTATTATATCCACATAATAATTAGTTAGAATACAATAACCCAAGCCTCTCTCTCTCTCTCTCTCTCTCTCTCTCTATATATATATATATATATATATATATATATATATATATATATATATATATATATATATATATATATATAGAGGTAAGTTCAATTGAGAAAATAAAAAAGGTTGAGAATGGGGGAATCATTCTCAGCCACTCATTTAATCTAAGCATAAAAGACACGGTGGTAAACTTGTAAATATGATAACAACCTTCAATCTCAAATACGTAACATCGATTTCTTTGTTGAATACTCCGAATTTGAATTTCCCAGATTCGCAAACGAACTCAGTTGGAATCGGAATTTCTTTGTTGTTCATGAAATTGGAATTGGAGTTCTGGACTCGCAGTCACAATCGACATTGAAGGACTCGGAATCGGTACTCACAGGTTCCTAATCGGATTTTCGGAAATCAAAATCAAAATGTGAAATCGATCAGACATAGGATGTCGCATCTGAAGTCGGAAGCTTTGAAACATATATTCTAATCGGAACAGTTCGCGTCTTGATTATTAGTATTACAAAGAAATCTGGAATCGGGATTTCAAGGTTTCAAAATTGAAATCGGATTTTTTTTGGAATGAAATGAAAATCGGAATTGCACGCTTCAAAGTCGAAATCGGAAGTATATGATGATTTGGAATTGATAACTTGAATTGGAAGTATCATGTTTTTAACATTTTTAAAAAAAGTTAACTTGTATGCACTCCAACTGTTTGATGAAATGCATAAACTAAATTACCACGTTATATTCACATATAAATATGTGTTTTCCGACCTGAATCAGTATATGATTATTAAAAAAAAACAAATATGCAAGTCTGTATGCTATTCATATGTGAATAATGTATAAAAATTATATATATTTGTGAAAACACATTGTAATATTCATATGTGAATATACTGTGTAATATTCATAAGTGAATATATCATATTATATTCACAAGTGAATATACTATGTAAAATTCACATGTGATATACCATGTAATACTATGTAATATTCACATATGAAAATATCATATAATATTCATAAGTGAATATACCATCTAATATTCACAAGTGAATATACTATGTAATATTCACAATTGAATGCATCGTCTAATATTTAAATATGAATATACTATGTTTATTATATGCTATATTCATATATGAATGATATTTAAATTATAAAAAAATTAATCATACTTTTTATTCATAAGTGATAATGTATTTTTTTCGAAAAAAAAAAAACATTGTTTTGAGGTCCTAAGCAAATTTGTAATTCATATGTGAATAACATATAAGAATTATATCCGCATGTGAACATATGTAATATTCACAAATGAATATATATGTAATAATCAAATGTGAATATATATGTATTATTCACAAATGAATAAAACTGTCAATAAAACCGAGGACTACAAAATATATAAAATTAAAGATAAAAAAAGTATTTGATAAAAATATATATTTATTCACATACAACTAATCTTTTTAGGTTAATAAAATAATTATATAAGCATATATATTTTTATTAATGTTATATTCATTTGTGAATAAATGATAAAAAAAATTTTCGGAAAATTATAAAAATAGAAAAACGTCATTTTGAAGCCCTAAACAGTCTTGAATGGCTGAAAAACACCGTACGTCACGGCGAAGCGGTGAGTTTTGTAAATCGCACCATTTTACATCAAATATGCGAATTTCGTCCAATTCCGAGACTAAACTTCATTGCGGCAAATTGTTTTGATGATGTCACTAAATTTTCATTCCTACTAGTGATGACATCATCATGACATGCTATTTATTCATATATGAATAAAGTTTAGAAATCATTACCACATATTTACTGATAATGTTACTAACTTCAATCACACTAGTAAAAACATCATTGTAATCTGTTATTTTTATTTATGTGAATAAACTATACATGTTGGTTTATTTATTTTGTGAATACAACCTTTATATATAAAAATAAATAATACACTATAAGAATTGGTTTGTGAATAGTTTTTTTGTATATTGTAACAATATTATTTTACATGTAAAATCAACATTATACTAAGACAAACAACATTGTATTGGTTAATGAATATCATTTGCATTTGAATTTAACACGATCAAAATGAAGAATATATTAAATTGTATAACATTTACACATGAATATAAAAACATATTGTCTTCGTCAATGATATTTTCTCAATTACGTCAACCAATCGTCAACCACCGGGATATGAACCAACCATTGATTGAAATGTTATTCTTTTATTGAGTTATAACGATGCCTGAAAAACAGGTGAATACACATAAAAATGTTAAAAATATACTTTTAGTTCATAATAATAGCGATTTATCACATTCTAACTATCATATGGTATATTCACACATGAATGTATAATCATATGTGAATATTATATGATATATGTTGTTTATATTGTATATTTACATGTGATATTACATGGTATATTCACAAATGAATATTACATAGTATATTCACATATGAATATTATATGGTAGATTTACATGTGAATAGTATATGGTATATTTACTTGTGAATATTACACATTCTAGTCACATCTAAATATTGCATGGTATATTCATTCATGAATATTACACAATATATTCACATATGAATAATATATAGTATATACACTTGTGAATATGATACAACATATTCATATTTAAATATTAAATAATGCATTCACTTGTGAATATTACATAGTATTTTCACTTGTAAGTATTAGATGATATATTCACTTATGAATATTACACAGGATATTAACATATAAATATTACAAGGTATATTCACAAATATATATAATTTTTATATGTTATTCACATATGAATAACATATAAAATTGTATATTTGTTTTGTGTTTTAATAATCATATACTGATTAAGGTGCGAAAACATATTCATATGTGAATATAACGTGATAATTTAGTTTATGCATTTCATCAAACAGTTGGAGTGCATACAAGTAAGTTTTTTTAAAAATGCTAAAAACATGATACTTTGACTATTTAAAACTTACAAAATAGTAGATTGATAGAGAATTATATGAAATTTTTCAAAAAAAAATGATTTGATGTTTTTCTAACCTTAATTTAGAAGTTTTGTTTGATGATCGATGTTGAATGAATGACATGAAGTGAAATTGTTGTTGATTATCGATGATGTTGATCTAATGACACTGGGAGTATAATTAATCATAGATGTTGAAGATATGCTCGAATTCAAGCATAATTGAAGGTTGGATTGAAAGAACCAAAAACGATTTTTTTTTTGTCTACTGTTGAATGATGTTGATGAACGTGTTTTTGACGAAGATGGATGATTGATTAACACTGGATGATGTTGATCGAGGATTTAATTGAAGAAATCTGGATGATCGTTGAAGGTTGGAGAAGAAATTTGGATGATGAACGATCGAGTAGTAATGAATTTGAATTGTTATCAAATTATCCACAACTATGTATCTGTGATTGAAGGATATCATATCATATTTACAATTTTGTCACCGTGTATTTTATGTTAAGATGCTAATTAAATGATTGGCTGAGAATGATTCCCTCATTCTCAACCTTTTTTTTTTTCTCAATTGAACCCTCTCTCTCTCTCTCTCTCTCTCTCTATATATATATATATATATATATATATATATATATATATATATATATATATATATATATATATATATATATATATATATATATATATACATACTAGTTTATAACCCGTGAGAACCACAATTATAAAATTAATCAAACTTTCATATTGAAAAATCAAAATTATTAGTCAATATTTTAAATAATTATTACTTAAAAGATATTTTTTTACTTATATAAAATTATAATCGTTGATTTAAATAAATATGTGAAGTTATATCACCTTATAATTTGTATTAAATTTATTTTATTTTTTAATATAATGTTATTAATTTAATATCATTAAAGTGAGAAAATTTAAAATTTGAAATTTAAAATAGAGAATCAATTATTAATTTAATTGAATTAGACTAAGAAATTTAAAATTTGAAATGGATAATTAATATGTTGACAAATGACATTATAGTTGACATATAATATTAATGAGAAGTTGTAATACTATGACACTTGTCGATAGGAGAATAAAATTATTCTTTTATTAGAATATATATATATATATATATATATATATATATATATATATATAACTCTAGTTTAGAAT